GAATTTCTGCACAAACTGTCAGAAACTGTCTCAGGGAAGCTCATCTGTGTGCTCGTTGACCTCAACAGGGTTTTGACCAGACTGCAGTTTGGCGTCGTAACCGACTACAGTGGGCAAATATTCACCTTCGATGGCCACTGGCACGCTGGAGAAGTGTGCTCAACACGGATGAATCAAGATGTAGCTGGCCATGCAGGATCTTCTGCGGCAAGCGCTCCTGAGACATTCTAATGACATGCCCAAGCCAGCGTAGTTGGTGTTGGGTGACCATGGCCTCCATACTCTTATAGTTGGTCTTAGCAAGTATTTCTGTATGGGGCACACAGTCGCACCTGGTGATTCCCAGAATGCGCTGCAGGCATCTTATGTGGAATCGCTCCAGCTGCTTGTTGTAGCTGCTGTAAGTGACCTAGGCTTCACAACTGTAAAGAAGTGTGGTGATGCAGACGGCTTGATAGACGGCGACTTTGGTGTGGAGGTGGAGATCCCTGTTTTGGAAGACCCTGTGTCAGAGTTTCCCAAAGGCAGCTGATGCTTGCTTGATCCTATTTTAAATTTCGAGGTCGATGCTGCAGTCCTCTGAGAGGATGCTGCCCAGGTATTTGAAAGATGGGACTATTGCCAGTGATTTGTGTTCAATGGTGAAGACAGGCATGGTGGGTGGAGGGCTGGATCGCCATTGGCAGACCACCTCTGTCTTGGTGGTGTTGATAGACAGTCCCATCCTGCTATAGACCCTCACAGCCGCTACAAGGACAGACCGAAGGTCTTCCGGAGTGTGGGCCACAAGAGCACAGTCATCAGCATACTGCAGCTCAAGAACCCGCTCCGTCAAAACCTTGGTGGTTGCTTGGAGCCTCCTTATGTTGAACAGGTTTCCATCCAGCCTGAAGTCCACCGGAACCCCGCTGCTGTCCTCAATCTCCTTGTGGAGAAACTGGGTGACACATAGGAGGAAGATGTTAAAGAGTACAGGTGCCAGTACACACCCTTGCCTCACACCGATGCTTACTCCAAAGGGCCAAAGGGCACTGACTCCTGCCCTCCTATGGCCACCCGAGCCAGCATCACATCATGGAACTGGCAAAGGATGGGCAGCCAAATTTATTGTATATTAGTTCCCTGCTCACAGTGTCGAAGGCCTTGGAGAGGTCAACAAAGGCCATGAAAAGGTCCTGATGATGTTCACGGCACATCTCCTGGAGTTGCCGTGTCGTGAATATCATGTTGACCGTACTCCTGTTCTTTCTGAAGCCACATTGTGACTCTGGCAGCAGTTCCTGTGTGATGTTGTTCACCAGCCTGTGTAGCATCACCTTGGCCAGGACCTTGCCGGCAACAGCCAGAAGGGATATCCCCTGGCTGTTTCCACAGATGGACTTGTCACCCTTGTTCTTATAGATGGTGACAATGTTTGCATCCTGCCACTGTTGGGGGACGATCTCCCGGTCCCAAACCCCCGTGATGTACTGGTGGAGCGTTCTGGTGCAGAAGTAACCTCCCTTCTTAAGTAGCTCTGCCAGGATGCTGTCAGCACCAGGAGTCTTGTTGTTCTTGAGGGAACGGATAGCTGATAACACCTCTTGGAAGGTTGGCGAATGGCTGAGGTCTTGAATGGGTGGACGGACAGGCAGTTCTTCCAGGATGAAGTGGTCTGTAGGAGAGTGCTGATTGAGTAGTGCTTCAAAGTTGTCAGCCCACCTCATCAGGATCTGGTTTTGGTCCTTCAAGAGAGTCAAACCATCAGCTGTTTTCAGGGGGGTGATGGAGCGACTTCTACGGACATAAATAGGTTTCATTGAGTTGTAGAAATTGTGCATTTCGTTTTTGTCGGCATAAATTTGGATTTCCTCTGCCTTATTCATCCATCATTCGTTCTGCAGAGCACCCAAGGTTTTTTATTTCTTATTTATTTCACCTTTACTTCCTTGTGTGATGCATGCCATTGCTGGCAGAGGGTAGCAGATGTGGGGCTGTTGAGAGTTTCCCTGTGCGCTTTGTGCATATTGTCCAGTAAGGTTGTGATGGTGTCAGAGTTCTCATTGAACCAGTCCTGATGTTTCCTACCTCTGTAGCCAATGGAGTGGGCCGCTGCCTGATAGAGCACTGAGCTAATAGATGCCCACTTCTGGTCCATTGGGTCCTCTGCGCTCAGAAGAGGCTCAGTCTCCCTCAGCCTTTCAGCGAGAGTGCAACGGAACTCGTCCCTTACTGCAGCTTTTTCAAGCCAGGTACAGTGCAGACGCCTCTTACTGGAGTTCTGCAGGCGTTAGGGGGGACGTATTCTCATTAGTGTCTCATAGTGTCAGAACATCTCACTATGACGTAGTCGATCAGATGCCAGTGTTTGGAGCGTGGATCCATCCATTATGTTTTATATTTGTTATTCTGCTGGAACAAGGTGTTAGTGACAATGAGATCGTGCTCGGCACATAGAGTTAGCAGTCTCATACCGTTCTTATTGACCTGGCCAACATCATGCCTACCCAGCACTCCGCTCCATATCCTGTTGTTCTGTTCTACCCTAGTGTTGAAGTCAACCAGCAGAAAGATCTTGTCATTCCTGGGGATGTGGTGAAGGGCCTCATTTAGTGGCAGGTAGGAGCAGTCCTTTGCCTCATTTTCAGATGGTAAATTTGGTGCGTATGTACTGAGATGAGTAGCATAACGCATCTTGGCTAGGGGATACAGAGAGACATGAGTCTTTCACTTATGTCGACAGGTGTTTCGGTGAGGCTGGGTAAAAGGCTGTCCTTAATTGCCCGTCCCACACAATGCTGATGTTGTCTACCCGGAGGGTAACCTTTCCAGAAGAAGGTATAGCCTTTTCCCTCCTCTTTCAGGGAACCTTCATCCAGGAACCTGTTCTCACTCAGGGCAGCAATGTCAATGTTGTAGCGCCTTAGTTCTGCAGCAATCAAAGCTGTTCTCCGATGGGGTCTATCGCTATTATCGTCAGTGTCCAAAAGAGTTCTAATGTTCCATGTTGCCAGTTTCAGGGAAATTATTTTCTTTAGCATTTTTCGACCGCTGAGTGGAACTCCAAATAGGTGCGGTAGCCTATCCAGGATGGAGTGAGTGGGCAATTTTTAGGCCAACTTTTCTAGGCCTCTCCCCAGCTAGGGTGAGCAGTGTGGCTCTTGAATAGGGCTGCTCAGTCACACAGGGGTAGTCCTGTGCCGCTGGTGTGCAGGGGTCTGATTAAGGGCTCCCGGTGCATTCACTCCTGCCCCCGTCACCAGACACCCCAACGCCACCAGACTTTAGGCCAGTTTCCGGTTGATGGCTTCACCGCGGTCAGTAGTGGATACCTGCGCAAAGGAAGTTATTTAAAGTGCTGCTGAGGGTGTGCAATCCCCAACAGCACTATTTCACTGTAGGAAGGTGAATTCCAGTGGCAAGGGGGGAAACCCAGGATGACCAGTATCTTCCACAGCTGTAGGAGGCTGCCGGATCCCCAGTCTGTTGGCGTTCGCCTACCACGCTGGAGAAGTGTGCTTTGTACCGGCCAGATGGCAGACAGTGTGTATGATATCGTGTGGGTGAGCGGTTTGCTGATGACAACGTTGTGAACAGAGTGCCCCATGGTGGCGGTGGGGTTATGGTATGGGCAGGCATAAGATACAGACAGCGAAAACAATTGCATTTTATCTATGGCAATTTGAATGCACAGATATACCGTGACAGGATCCTGAGGCCCATTGTCATGCCATTCATCCGCCGCCATCATCTCATGTTTTAGCATGATAATGCACGGCCCCATGTCACAAGGATCTGTAAACAATTCCTGGAAGCTGGAAATGTCCCAGTTCTTCCATGGCCTGCATACTCACCAGACATTTCACCCATTGAGCATGTTTGGGATGCTCTGGATCGACGTGTATTACAGCATGTTCCAGTTCCCGCCAATATCCAGCAACTTCGCACAGCCATTGAAGAGGATTTCAATTGACTGATTTCCTTACATGAACTGTAACTCAGTAAAATCTTTGAAATTGTTTCATATAATACAATTAAATCAGTGTTGTGTTAAATAAGCGCTTCTTTAACATGTGATTTTAACCCAAGCTTTGCTCAGTAGAAAAACGTTTTTCAGAGTTGTTAAACCCAATATCAATCAAAATCAATCAATCAATCGAAAAAAATATATAAAGCCCTTTTTTACATCAGAAATTGTCACACTGCTATACATATACACAGCCTAAAATCCCAATCACCAAGCAATGCAGATGTAGAAGCACAGTGGCTAAGAAAAAGAAAAATAGGAACCGAGGAAGAAACCTAGAAAGACAGGCACCTAGAAAGAATCCTAGAGAGGAGCCAGGCTCCGAGGAGTGGCCTGTCCTCTTCTGGCTGTGCCGGGTGGAGATTATAAGAGTACATGGCCTTTTAGGCCAGATCGTTCTTCAAACATTCGTACACAAAGAGGAGTGGGACAAAATCCCTCCTGAGATGTGTGCAAACCTGGTGGCCAAATACAAGAAACGTCTGACCTCTGTGATTGCCAACAAGGGTTTTGCCACCAAGTACTAAGTCATGTTTTGCAGAGGGGTCAAATACTTATTTCCCTCATTAAAATGCAAATCAATTCATAACATTTTTGACATGCGTTTTTCTGGATTTTTTTGTTGTTATTCTGTCTCTCACTGTTCAAATAAACCTACCAATAAAATTATAGACTGATCATTTCTTTGTCAGTGGGAAAACGTACAAAATCAGCAGTGGATCAAATACTGTTTTCCCTCACTGTATGTTTGTCCTGTGCAGTTGAGGCGCTGTCATTGGCACAGTGACCTGTGCCAAATCGCACAGTGGGAGCTTTGAGCATGAGCAGCCCGTCATTGCACGAAGGCTGTTTTCTTAGAAGTACAGTCTCCTTTATTACACATTTAAAAGCATAACTCTGCCAAAATTGGTCTGATTGCAACAAGTGATGCACAATTTTGTGGTCAAATTCTGAGTTTTTGCTCCCACAAAGGCTACATCCGTGGGAACCGCTCATGTCATGGCCGTCTATGTCATCATGGCCAATAATAATACAATTATTGTACTTTCCCCCACCTTCTTTCTATCCTGTACTCTACCCTACCCCCTAGTTTCAGTTTCTGATTCTACCGACTTCCCTTTCACTTGCACCTTTTCTCCAGGAGTCCGCACCTCAACAGAAATAAGTTAGAAAGGGACTCTCAACCAATGAAAATGCTGCTGTAATCATTCAGTTCGTAGAGCACACGATACGAAATGCTAGTCATGCATACACATTTAGTCGGACCTGTGAAACATATTCTAGACACACTAACACCAAGCTGTGAATACATTTTATTGTTCCGCCTAGAATATAAACCCCTTGTGTCCTGCCTTTGTGGTGGGCTTTACTTGTGGAGACTTTGACCCCTAATTCCGGTTGGAGGATTCCCGCAATCAGGAGGGTAATATCCAGGGAGGGAATTCTCCATCTTGGAATATTCCAATTGGGATTTCTGAAAGACGTGCGAACTTTGGGAAAGTTTTTGGGGAATTTGCAACCCTAGGTCCCTAATCCTCAACGCTGGGCATCCCCTAATTTCCCCTGTGTGATTTTCTATTTCAGTATCGTGTCGTTGCTGATCAAAGCCACCAGGAAGTCCAGTGTGAAACGCAGTGGCGTCAGTCCCCTCCACCTGGCCGCCGAGTTCAACTGGGACAAAGTCCTGGAGGTCCTGATCGAGGCCGGCTACGACGTCAATGCCATGCTGTCGGAGGACCGATCCATGATGTACGAGGACCATCGTAGCACAACGCTCTACTTCGCCGTCGCCAACGGCAACGTGGACGCGACCACCATGCTTCTAGAAGCTGGCGCCAACCCAAACCTGGACACCTTCAACCCGCTACTGGTGGCCGTGAGGCAAGGTAGTATCGAATTGGTAACTTTGCTGGTGGAGCACATGGCCAACGTCAATGCCTACGTCCCCACTCACCCCACCTCATTCCCGGCCACCGTCATGTTCAGTATGAAGTATCTGTCCATGCTGAAGTATCTGATGGACAACGGCTGCGATGCCCTCTCCTGTTTTAGTTGCACTTACAGCAGTGGTACACACCCACCCCTTCAGGAGACCTCTGAGAGAGATGACTTGCGGTACAACACCGATACACACAGAAATACTCGGGAACCTGTTCAGGTAAACAGAATAAGAGTGAAATGTTTAGTATGTGCATGTGTAATATTTTCACGTACAGTGGGGTACATTTTTTTTAGGGATCTCTTGATAAAGATGAGAAAAGAAGACTGTATGAAATAAATAATCCAAATACTGAGCTCTATTGTATTTTGGTTTTTTATACTAATACAATTGCTCAGAGAAATACATTTTGTTTAACAAGCAATAAAACAATCTCAAAAAGGATAGGGGTCAAAATGATTGGATCCCCTGTTTTCAATACTCCACCGCCCTCCCCTTGCAAGGATAACAACACTGAGCCTTTTTCCCAAATGTTTTATGAGAATGGAGAACACATTGGGAGGGGTCTTAGACCATTCCTCCGTACAGAAACTTTTCAGATCCCTGATATCCTTCATCTGCGCTTATGGACTGTCCTCTTCAATTCAAACCATAGGTTTGCAATGGGGTTCCTGTCCAGAGACTGAGAGGGCCATTGCAAAATGTTGATTTGCAAAAAACATTTATTTTTGGATTTTTATGTGTGCTTGGGGTTATTGAATTGCTGGAAGATCCACTTTTGGATTCCAATTTCAGCCTCCTGGCAGAAGCAACCAGGTTTATGGCTAAAATGTCCTGATACTCGGTAAAGTTCATGCCGTTGACCTTAACAAGGGAACCAGGACCAGTGGAAGCAAAATAGCCCCATAAGATCTACCACCATATTTTACAGTAGGTATGGGGTTATTTTCTGCATATGCCTCTTTCTTTCGAACACAAAAACCCACCACTGGTGTGCGTGGCCAAAGACCTCTATTTTCATGTCATCTGACCATAGCATCGGTTTCAATCCAAGTGCCAATGCCGTTTAGCAAACTCCAGGCATTTACATTTGTTGGATGACATGAAAATAGAGCTCTTTGGCCACACACACCAGTGGTGGGTTTTGCATCAATTTATTTTTTAAGAGGTTTGAATTGAAAAGGCAGTCCATAAGCACAGACGAAGGTTATCAAGGATCTGGAAATTCTGTATGGAGGAATGGTCTAAGATCCCTCCCAATGTGTTCTCCAATGTCATATTTCTTTTATGAAATAGTCTGTGTCATTAGGGGAGGGTGCTGGAGTACTGAAAACAGGGGATCAATAATCTTGACTATATTTGTAAGATTTTTTTTATTACTTGTAAAAACATATATTTCTCAGAACAATTGTATTAGTATAAAATAATATAATGAAAAAATGTTTGGGAGCATATATAAATATAGCTCAATATTTGTATTATTTGTTCTATATAGTATTTTTTGCTCATCTTTATAAAGGGATCCAATAATGATGTATCCTATCTATTTTGAGGTCCCACTTTACTTTAATATATATATATATATATACAGTGGGGGAAAAAAGTATTTAGTCAGCCACCAATTGTGCAAGTTCTCCCACTTAAAAAGATGAGAGAGGCCTGTAATTTTCATCATAGGTACACGTCAACTATGACAGACAAAATGAGAAAAAAAATTCCAGAAAATCACATTGTAGGATTTTTTATGAATTTATTTGCAAATTATGGTGGAAAATAAGTATTTGGTCAATAACAAAAGTTTCTCAATACTTTGTTATATACCCTTTGTTGGCAATGACACAGGTCAAACGTTTTCTGTAAGTCTTCACAAGGTTTTCACACACTGTTGCTGGTATTTTGGCCCATTCCTCCATGCAGATCTCCTCTAGAGCAGTGATGTTTTGGGGCTGTCGCTGGGCAACACGGACTTTCAACTCCCTCCAAAGATTTTCTATGGGGTTGAGATCTGGAGACTGGCTAGGCCACTCCAGGACCTTGAAATGCTTTTACGAAGCCACTCCTTCGTTGCCCGGGCGGTGTGTTTGGGATCATTGTCATGCTGAAAGACCCAGACACGTTTCATCTTCAATGCCCTTGCTGATGGAAGGAGGTTTTCACTCAAAATCTCACGATACATGGCCCCATTCATTCTTTCCTTTACACAGATCAGTCGTCCTGGTCCCTTTGCAGAAAAACAGCCCCAAAGCATGATGTTTCCACCCCCATGCTTCACAGTAGGTATGGTGTTCTTTGGATGCAACTCAGCATTCTTTGTTCTCCAAACACGACGAGTTGAGTTTTTACCAAAAAGTTCTATTTTGGTTTCATCTGACCATATGACATTCTCCCAATCCTCGTCTGGATCATCCATATGCACTCTAGCAAACTTCAGACGGGCCTGGACATGTACTGGCTTAAGCAGGGGGACACGTCTTGCACTGCAGGATTTGAGTCCCTGGCGGCGTAGTGTGTTACTGATGGTAGGCTTTGTTACTTTGGTCCCAGCTCTCTGCAGGTCATTCACTAGGTCCCCCCGTGTGGTTCTGGGATTTTTGCTCACCGTTCTTGTGATCATTTTGATCCCACGGGGTGAGATCTTGCGTGGAGCCCCAGATCGAGGGAGATTATCAGTGGTCTTGTATGTCTTCCATTTCCTAATAATTGTTCCCACAGTTGATTTCTTCAAACCAAGCTGCTTACCTATTGCAGATTCAGTCTTCCCAGCCTGGTGCAGGTCTACACTTTTGTTTCTGGTGTCCTTTGACAGCTCTTTGGTCTTAGCCATAGTGGAGTTTGGAGTGTGACTGTTTGAGGTTGTGGACAGGTGTCTTTTATACTGATAACAAGTTCAAACAGGTGCCATTAATACAGGTAACGAGTGGAGGACAGAGGAGCCTCTTAAAGAAGAAGTTACAGGTCTGTGAGAGCCAGAAATCTTGCTTGTTTGTAGGTGACCAAATACTTATTTTCCACCATAATTTGCAAATAAATTCATAAAAAATCCTACAATGTGATTTTCTGGATTTTTTTCCTCAATTTGTCTGTCATAGTTGACGTGTACCTATGATGAAAATTACAGGCCTCTCTCATCTTTTTAAGTGGGAGAACTTGCACAATTGGTGGCTGACTAAATACTTTTTTTCCCCACTATATATATTATACACTGCTCAAAAAAATAAAGGGAACACTTAAACAACACAATGTAACTCCAAGTCAATCACACTTCTGTGAAATCAAACTGTCCACTTAGGAAGCAACACTGATTGACAATAAATTTCACATGCTGTTGTGCAAATGGAATAGACAACAGGTGGAAATTATTAGCAATTAGCAAGACACCCCCAATAAAGGACTGGTTTTGCAGGTGGTGACCACAGACCACTTCTCAGTTCCTATGCTTCCTGGCTGATGTTTTGGTCACTTTTGAATGCTGGCGGTGCTTTCACTCTAGTGGTAGCATGAGACGGAGTCTACAACCCACACAAGTGGCTCAGGTAGTGCAGCTCATCCAGGATGGCACATCAATGCGAGCTGTGGCAAGAAGGTTTGCTGTGTCTGTCAGCGTAGTGTCCAGAGCATGGAGGCGCTACCAGGAGACAGGCCAGTACATCAGGAGACGTGGAGGAGGCCGTAGGAGGGCAACAACCCAGCAGCAGGACTGCTACCTCCGCCTTTGTGCAAGGAGGAGCAGGAGGAGCACTGCCTGAGCCCTGCAAAATGACCTCCAGCAGGCCACAAATGTGCATGTGTCTGCTCAAATGGTCAGAAACAGACTCCATGAGGGTGGTATGAGGGCCCGACATCCACAGGTGGGGGTTGTGCTTACAGCCCAACACCATGTAGGACGTTTGGCATTTGCCAGAGAACACCAAGATTGGCAAATTCGTGAGGGGAGGAGATCCCTCAGGAGACCATCCGCCACCTCATCAGGAGCATGCCCAGGCGTTGTAGGGAGGTCATACAGGCACGAAGAGGCCACACACACTACTGAGCCTCATTTTGACTTGTTTTAAGGACATTACATCAAAGTTGGATCAGCCTGTAGTGTGGTTTTCCACTTTATTTTTGAGGGTGACTCCAAATCCAGACCTCCATGGGTTGATAAATTTGATTTCCGTTGATAATTTTTGTGTGATTTTGTTGTCAGCACATTCAACTATGTAAAGAAAAAAGTATTTAATAAGATTATTTCATTCATTCAGATCTAGGATGTGTTATTTTAGTGTTCCCTTTATTTTTTTGAGCAGTGTATATATATTTACGTGACTGGTATAGTATTACACTATACCTAGTAGTAATTATACTACAGCCAGGTATAACAGTTGTAACAAAAACCATTCCTTACCCCCAGGACACCAACGGGTGAAAATAAAGAAAAAGGAGCACTCTGTTTCATAATATGTCCCGTCAATAAATTATCAGATCTATGCAGAAACCGAGTGCTCCTTTTTCTTTATTTTCCTGGATAGTCACCTGTTGAAGTGTCCTTGGGTAAGGAATGTTTTTTGGATTTACTATGTAACAATGTTTATCTACACTGTAATCACCAATGTAACTGTCATGCAGTCATGTTAGCACATAGGTATTTGGGACACTTCTTACACTTCTTGTAAAGTGGGGACCATTGCTGTTTGTGTTTCCATCATTAGTTTTGTGAGATAATCTCTACTCGGGCAATAAGCCGCTGGGCAGGACCCATCATAGACGTACTCCTGGATTATGTTGGGCAGGTGAAACTCTGCTCCAGACTTACTGAACACCTAGATAGCTTCAAGGACTGGGAAGTCATCAAGGAAAAAGCAAGTGAGTGTCCGACTTCCAAACAAACACACGCAGATATGCACACATACTGTAGATACACAGACACAATTACACATATGTGACTTGTTTCAGGAAACTAGGCATATCTCGCGCGTCACTACTTCACAGGAGAGCCATTTGAATGTAAACTTTTTTAAATGATCAAAATGCGTTTTTTGGCAGAAATGCCTTCTGGAACATGTGAACTTTCATGTGACTTAATAACAAACTTGTATGCCATCTGTAAATATGAATACAATTGTTAAATTATGAGCCTAGTTGGTTTAGCCACAGAAAAAGACAGCAACCTTCCCGCTAGCAATGATTGGCTGAGATAATGAGTGGGCTGGACATGCCGAGAGATGAGTTCGGATTGGTCTGCCATGTAGCACGCTTCTGTCTATAACATGAGTTGGTCAGTATGTGTAGTATCCTTTCTAAGGCAGCTTTTTTGAAAGATATCACGTAGTAGAACTGCATAAGTGTTGCTCTCCACTTTCTGGAGGACCGAATTTTGAATCAGTGGAATTAGAGTATGATAGCTAATGAGATGGAGAAAATTCTAGCGTTTGATTGCAAATATGCAGACAGAGTCAAAAAGAGAACACACAGAAGGCTGTTGTTTAAAACACCTGTCTCCGGATTACATCTTCAAACTAAGGGCAACTGTCACGGATCCCCCCGGTACTGCTGCTCATTCCGTTCACCAGTTCCGGAGGTCTATGTCACTGGCTTTCTAGGCGTCACTGACATGGATCATTACCACCATCCCCGGACTGTCTTGTCCCATGTCCGTTGGTCTCGTGAGTACCGTGTATTGTGCTCTTGTTGTTTACGGGTCTCATCCCGTGTATTGTATAGAGGTTACACCTCGCTCTTTGTTTGGGTTACATCCCTTTTGTATATACAGTGGGGAGAACAAGTGTTTCATACACTGACGATTTTGCAGGTTTTCCTACTTACAAAGCATGTAGAGGTCTGTAATTTTTATCATAGATATACTTCAACTGTGAGAGACGGAATCTAAAACAAAAATCCAGAAAATTACATTGTATGATTTTTAAGTAACTAATTTACATTTTATTGCATGACATAAGTATTTGATACATCAGAAAAGCAGAACTTAATATTTGGTACAGAAACCTTTGTTTGCAATTACAGAGATCATACGTTTCCTGTAGGTCTTGACCAGGTTTGCACACACTGCAGCAGGGATTTTGGCCCACTCTTCCATACAGACCTTCTCCAGATCCTTCAGGTTTCGGGGCTGTCGCTGGGCAATACAGACTTTCAGCTCCCTCCAAAGATTTTCTATTGGGTTCAGGTCTGGAGACTGGCTAGGCCACTCCAGGACCTTGAGATGCTTCTTACGGAGCCACTCCTTAGTTGCCCTGGCTGTGTGTTTCGGGTCGTTGTCATGCTGGAAGACCCAGCCATGACCCATATTCAATGCTCTTACTAAGGGAAGGAGGTTGTTGGCCAAGATCTCGCAATACATGGCCCCATCCATCCTCCCCTCAATACGATGCAGTCGTCCTGTCCCCTTTGCAGAAAAGCATCTCCAAGGAATGATGTTTCCACCTCCATGCTTCACGGTTGGGATGGTGTTCTTGGGGTTGTACTCATCCTTCTTCTTCCTCCAAACACGGCGAGTGGAGTTTAGACCAAAAAGCTCTATTTTTGTCTCTTCAGACCACATGACCTTCTTCCATTCCTCCTCTGGATCATCCAGATGGTCATTGGCAAACTTCAGACGGGCCTGGACATGCGCTGGCTTGAGCAGGGGGACCTTGCGTGCGCTGCAGGATTTTAATCCATGACGGCGTAGTGTGTTACTAATGGTTTTCTTTGAGACTGTGGTCCCAGCTCTCTTCAGGTCATTGACCAGGTCCTGCCGTGTAGTTCTGGGCTGATCCCTCACCTTCCTCATGATCATTGATGCCCCACGAGGTGAGATCTTGCATGGAGCCCCAGACCGAGAGTGATTGACCGTCATCTTGAACTTCTTCCATTTTCTAATAATTGCGCCAACAGCTGTTGCCTTCTCACAAAGCTGCTTGCCTATTGTCCTGTAGCCCATTCCAGCCTTGTGCAGGTCTACAATTTTATCCCTGATGTCCTTACACAGCTCTCTGGTCTTGGCCATTGTGGAGAGGTTGGAGTCTGTTTGATTGAGTGTGTGGACAGGTGTCTTTTATACAGGTAACGAGTTCAAACAGGTGCAGTTAATACAGGTAATGAGTGGAGAACTGGAGGGCTTCTTAAAGAAAAACTAACAGGTCTGTGAGAGCCGGAACTCTTACTGTTTGGTAGGTGATCAAATACTTATGTCATGCAATAAAATGCAAATTAATTACTTAAAAATCATACCATGTGATTTTCTGGATTTTTGTTTTAGATTCCGTCTCTCACAGTTGAAGTGTACCTATGATAAAAATTACAGATCTCTACATGCTTTGTAAGTAGGAAAACCTGCAAAATCGGCAGTGTATCAAATACTTGTTCTCCCCACTGTATATACGTGTTTATGTTGGGTGGAGTAAATAAAACCCCTAATACGTATTCCTGCGCCTGTCTTCAAATTATTATACTACGTGACAGCAACCATGGCATCCGTGACAGAGAGGGAGATGCATCCATCCAGGTAAGATAGTCTAGCTAGCTAAGTTTTTAGATATTACACGTTTGTAATTTTGTCAGAAAGTTGTTTTAATTTCAAGTTAAAGTGTGCTGGTTTGTGAAGGCAATGGTTTGTTAAAGGAAAAAAAGTTGAGCAAGGCTTGTAAGGAGAACAGAGAAATGTGCAATAGCTCCTCTCTTTCTCGCTCTCTCCTCTCTCTTCTTAACAAACCCTCAAAACTGTGGGCTAACTTGGGGGAGAAAAAATAGTACAGTCAAATTGAACATGGTCAATTCATAAGCACGAATAAGAATGATATATTTTTTCAAATTGAGAAAATTTCTATTGCGAATCGACGAGATGCGCATCATATGTATGAGCGCTATTTTTTAAAACAAGGGATAATTAGTAACGGTTATATTGGGATACGTTTTGAGAGTTCAAAGACAACTTTGGTAGTATTGTAAACCTTAAAATATGTGGTTTCTTGTAGGCTACAGAATCAGAGAAGGGTTGTTTCTCTGAACCTCAGGTAGTAGGCTCAAGCAAGCCTGTTTCTCTTAGTGCAGCCTGACCTGCCTGTTTCCCAGACTCTGACCAGCAGCCTATTCTCCTTATTTATGTTCAGAAAACAAATTTGAAGGCCAACAGTGTTGGGGGATAGCACTAATCATGTTTATGCAACCTAATAGTCACACTTAGAACACTTCCAGAACCAATTCTGTTCCCCATGATGAAAGGTTATGACTGAAAATGTTTGGGAAGCACTGATCTAGCTAATGATTAGCACAAATATAAATGGGCAACCCCTATGCTTCAGCCTATTTGTTTATAGCCAGTATGCTGCATGAGTTAGGCTACAGCTGATAATGCTTTTTGCTAAATAACACACCAGCCTGATAATATGGACCAGTATGTGGACCAATGTATATTTTAGGCGGTGTCAGCATCAATTTATTTTCATTCATTTTGGAGTACAAAAGTCACCAGAACTGACTTTCTCACAGTCGTTCAGTTGTGGTTGGGATATATTGACCAAATTATCAAGAAAGTTTTGGATGTATTTTCCCTACAACATTTACCAGAAACAAGCATTTCACAGTTATATATTTAAAAATCTCCAGGGGGAGCATGCCCCCGGACCCCCCTGGAAGGGTGTTGACCCCCCCAATATGCAACACAAAGTTACACCCTTGGCTGCTGGGGTTACTTCTGTGATGAGGGGGGATGCCATGCACGCATGCACAGAAGCCACTGCCCAAACGGGCACTTATTTGGAGTGACTTGTGCACATGTTATATATATATATATATATATATATATATCAATTTTCAATTTTATTTTATATAGCCCTTCATACATTAGCTAATATCTCGAAGTGCTGTACAGAAACCCAGCCTAAAACCCCAAACAGCTAGTAATGCAGGTGTAGAAGCACGGTGGCTAGGAAAAACTCCCTAGAAAGGCCAAAACCTAGGAAGAAACCTAGAGAGGAACCAGGCTATGAGGGGTGGCCAGTCCTCTTCTGGCTGTGCCGGGTGGAGATTATAACAGAACCATGCCAAGATGTTCAAAAATGTTCATAAGTGACAAGCATGGTCAAATAATAATCAGGAATAAATCTCAGTTGGCTTTTCATAGCCGATCATTAAGAGTTGAAAACAGCAGGTCTGGGACAGGTAGGGGTTCCATAACCGCAGGCAGAACAGTTGAAACTGGAATAGCAGCAAGGCCAGGCGGACTGGGGACAGCAAGGAGTCACCACGGCCGGTAGTCCCGACGTATGGTCCTAGGGCTCAGGTCTCTCAGTTGGCTTTTCATAGCCGATCATTAAGAGTTGAAAACAGCAGGTCTGGGACAGGTAGGGGTTTCGTAACCGCAGGCAGAACAGTTGAAACTGGAATAGCAGCAAGGCCAGGCGGACTGGGGACAGCAAGGTGTCAGCATGCCCGGTAGTCCTGACGTATGGTCCTAGGGCTCAGGTTCTCAGAGAGAAAGAGAGAACGAGAGAATTAGAGAGAGCATACTTAAATTCACACAGGACACTGGATAAGACAGGAGAAGTACTCCAGGTATAACCAACTAACCCCAGCCCCCCGACACATAAACTACTGCAGCATAAATACTGGAGGCTGAGACAGGAGCGGTCCGGAGACACTGTGGCCCCATCCGAAGAAACCCCCGGACAGGGCCAAACAGGAAGGATATAACCCCACCCACTCTGCCAAAGCACAGCCCCCGCACCACTAGAGGGATATCCTCAACCACCAACTTACAATCCTGAGACAAGGCCGAGTATAGCCCACAGAGGTCTCCACCACAGCACAAACCAAGGGGGGGGCGCCAACCCAGACAGGAAGATCACGTCAGTAACTCAACCCACTCAAGTGACGCACCCCTCCCAGGGACGGCATGAAAGAGCACCAGCAAGCCAGTGACTCAGCCCCTGTAACAGGGTTAGAGGCAGAGAACCCCAGTGGAGAGAGGGGAACTGGCCTGGCAGAGACAGCAAGGGCTGTTCGTTGCTCCAGAGCCTTTCCGTTCACCTTCACACTCCTGGGCCAGACTACACTCAATCATATGACCCACTGAAGAGATAAGTCTTCAGTAAAGACTTAAAGGTTGAGACCGAGTCTGCGTCTCTCACATGGGTAGGCAGACTGTTCCATAAAAATGGAGATCTATAGGAGAAAGCCCTGCCTCCCGCTGTTTGCTTAGAAATTCTAGGGACAATTAGGAGGCCTGCGTCTTGTGACCGTAGCGTACGTATTGGTATGTACGGCAGGACCAACTCGGAAAGATAGGTAGGAGCAAGCCCATGTAACGCTTTATAGGTTAACAGTAAAACCTTGAAATCAGCCCTTGCCTTAACAGGAAGCCAGTGTAGGGAAGCTAGCACTGGAGTAATATGATCAAATTTCTTGGTTCTAGTCAGGATTCTAGCAGCCGTATTTAGCACTAACTGAAGTTTATTTAGTGCTTTATCCGGGTAGCCGGAAAGTAGAGCATTGCAGTAGTCTAACCTAGAAGTAACAAATGCATGGATTAATTTTTCTGCATCATTTTTGGACAGAAAATTTCTGATTTTTGCAATGTTACGTAGATGGAAAAAAGCTGTCCTTGAAACAGTCTTGATATGTTCGTCAAAAGAGAGATCAGGGTCAAGAGTAACGCCGAGGTCCTTCACAGTTTTATTTGAGACGACTTTACAACCATCAAGATGAATTGTCAGATTTAACAGAAGATCTCTTTGTTTCTTGGGACCTAGAACAAGCATCTCTGTTTTGTCCGAGTTTAAAAGTAGAAAGTTTTCAGCCATCCACTTCCTTATGTCTGAAACACAGGCTTCTAGCGAGGGCAATTTTGGGGCTTCACCATGTTTCATTGAAATGTACAGCTGTGTGTCATCCGCATAGCAGTGAAAGTTAACATTATGTTTTCGAATAACATCCCCAAGAGGTAAAATATATAGTGAAAACAATAGTGGTCCTAAAACGGAACCTTGAGGAACACCGAAATGTACAGTTGATTTGTCGGAGGACAGACCATTCACAGAGACAAACTGATATCTTTCCGACAGGTAAGATCTAAACCAGGCCAGAACTTGTCCGTGTAGACCATATATATACTGTCTATACTGTATACAAGCATATATTACTACATATCACCGTATATATGTTGCCATTGTCTTCCAGCGCCACCACGTCGACTGATGCAGCTGTGCAGGCTGAAGATCCGCCAGCAAGTTGGAATCCACAGACTGAGGTGCATCAACAAACTGCCCCTCCCACCACGACTGATCAAGTACCTCAACCATGAAGCGCGCAACCAAGAAGAGTTTTGTGAATACTAATGTGTAAAATCACAGTCAAAGTAAGAGACGACAGAGGGAATACAGCACAAAATCGCTTCACACATTCAGTGTTTTTAGTGTGATATTTGAGCAAAGCTAGAGTTCACAATTAAACTTTAAGACCAGACTAAGGTAGACTTATCAAAGTTGGTAAGTGTATGTGCTTGCACTTCACTTCAGACAAACTCCTCATGAGGGTGCCAAATGACTTCACAGAGGACTGATCCATGGATGAAGTTCTGTTGACACCTCCATCAATCTTGCCCTCTGGCATTGGACTGAACTAATACTGTACCACATAACCCAATCTAGTGCATTATTCATGCAATGTACTGTCCATGTTATGATGGCTCACATTTTACCACATATAATAATCTACAAAGTTATCTATTATCTTGGATTGTTGTCAAATTAGACTATGATCATTCATTGGATTGTGAATTATCACAAACATCCATATGGTAGAGGCAGCTGTTTTAGTCATGAAACAGGTCTTAGAAGCCAGCTATTCTGTATCCATGACTAAAAACTGCATTGTTCAGTATTATAAACCTAGTATATAATTGCAAAACCTGTCAAGGCAACATAAGCTACTTACCAACAATGTTGATTGACAGATGAACACACAAGCACAGCCCGCCTTTTCTGTAGAATTCATCACTTCTAGCACAGTGGTCCACTCTGTCCAAACTGAGGAACGCCACAGAAGATTACTTTGTTAGCACCTCAGTCTCTCTTTAATAGCTCACAGCTCATTTCAACTGAGTAGCGGCAACTCAAAGGCATAGAGCAGGTGGATCTTTTGAGAAGTGTGTCTTACACTAACCTAAGACAATATGCTATTTAAAAAAAATAAACATGCGTTTTGATTTATTGTTTGTAAATCCTGCTCTATGGTTTTCCCCAGTGAATTTTGCAGATGGTTATATTGGCTAGATTGATGTGACATTGCTGTTGTTTGGTGTTACTTGAGTGTAAAAAATATATATCTATTCAAAGTTCACATTTATATGTATTGATTGTTATGTGCAAAATCCTAATTATGCTGCACTAAAGGTAAATGTAGAAATGACAATTATTTTTATGACAAGTCATCTTTGAGCTATAATACAGCCTTCCTTCATCTTCATACCCCAAATAATTGTTGTTGTTGTTTGCACTGCACCTCTTTCCCATTTTCCTAAAATGAAAATTCCACCACTTTTCAGCCTCATATTTAGCACAGTTTCTACATTCTGAAGATTAAAAGATAAGAAGAACGTGTAATTTGATGAATTGCCCTTTATTAAGATATCATAGTTAAAACTGTTTTAGAAACCATAAAAGTAGGCTATAACACGATTTTCTGAAGGAGGTCACTCTCAATAAAAAGGTATCACACAGTAGGCTTTCATGGGGTACTAATACAACCATGCTCCTCCTTTGAGCATAGGTATAAATCACTAACAACATCAGCCGTGTCAAGCATTGGCATATCTGTCTAGTACAATTTAGAAATGAAGAATTATTATGCACACCCAGATGGGCAAAATACGTCGCTGAATTACAGGTTTCTTTTATCGCTTTGGTACTATTTTCACAAGTATGTGGTACATTTTGACAACTCTTTGTAGAAAACCACAAACTGGTCCCACTTGTAACACAGCCGGTCTTTCATTAATAACCTGTCATTGTGCATTCATTTGGATTGTAAACATCTCTCACCACACAACCATTGATTCAAAATATAAGTTTATTCTGAAATGTAATGAGAACATTGGTTTAATCACCAAAACACAACTTGATATCTTTTCAATTAGTAGTTTTAACTCCCAGTTAATTCAATAGCAAACAATGCAAGATTCGTGTTTCAAATTGCCTTTAGAAGAGCTGAAAGTAATATGCTACAGTATTGTAAATTACGGTAGATTACATAGTTTTCACATTAGGCAATACACTTACATTACCCAACAAAATTAAAAGTAAATCTATCATTTCCATAATATCTATCCAATGTGTAATCAAAGGTGTGATCAATGAAGACCCCTTGACTTTTTCCACATTTTGTTATGTGGTGGCCGAACGATGCTGCGATGATGTGTTGATAAGAAATCCGCTGACACTGTACTTTGATTATAAAGGTTTATTATATCAAAGATTTCAGCATCAATTTACAGACTTCTGCAGAATCTGGAGAGCAACAAACCCAATCTCAAATATGATCACTCTCCCCGTCCCTTTGTTCAAACATGGTATATATCCTATGTAACATAAGATGGCGTGTTTTGAATAGACCAATCCCTGGCCTCCACATCCCAATGTCCACTGTTTTAGGGGGCCCCTATAGTAATACTTTCCAGATGTTTCAGCAAAGCAGAGCAAAGTTCATTTAACCAACAATATGAAAACCTCAGCCAAAGCTATAAATGTTCAGATACTAGATATTTCCCCCCTTCGAGACTAATTAAGTCTCGAAAACAAAAATAATAGGATTATGACAAATCTTGTGTAACTTTAGCAATAAAACCAAGTTTATGGAGTGTGAAAAATTTTTTATGGAGTGTAAGATCGAAAACCTGTCTGGCAGCTTTCTTTCCAAATATCCATCAATCAATCAAGACAGTAAAATTCTCTCACAGCCCCTCTGCCTCAGTACTCCAGATCAATTTATAAATTTTTATCAATGCATTTTAAGCTATGGTGCAATCGAATACACATGAAAGCCTCAGAAAACAAAATACAATCAAAAAATGTCCACATTCAGGCTGGTCGACACATCGGACCCTCCTGTGGATTCTCTCTGTCCCTGCCTAGACCCAATATCCCTAAGCGTCAAATAAAAAACCAAAACATCTGAGGTCCCCACATGTACCCAACAACAGAAAACATCATTCTTCAAAAAATTTATACAGAAAGAATATGACACAAATTATGTATTACACATGCAAATATGTCTATATATATCATTGCAGACACTGGAATGTAGTCCACTACACTGCAGCTCCACAGCAGTGTCGACTTTCAATGCAACGTCGATTATGGAATCTGAACATTTCCACACCGTCCTTGTTCAACTTCCTCCAGTCCATTCATATTGTCCATGTTTGAGTATTTGAATCCCACTCTACACATTCCCCATATGCTTCTGGAAGAAAAGAAAACACCAACCAGTATCTTTTGCAAAGCAACACATGAAAATTAAAACATCAATATCAAAAAGAATATATAAAAATGATATATAAAAATGAATCACATTCCATTTCCCCCCTTTGATTCATAAGAAAACACTAAATATCACATAAATATGCAAAGAAATGTGAAAATTATCGCATAATCAGATATTCAAATTTCCTAGAGTTACTCCAACCCTAGTTTTCGTAAAGTTTTGGTCTGACATTTTTCAAATTCGTGCAAAATCAATTTAACTGATTTAACCACAAAACTCTTTCCCATTATCTGAGGATATTAGATCGGGAAGTCCCCACCTGCTTATGACTTCTTTACACAAAAACTTGGCAACCGACTGAGCGTCTTTTCGCTTGGTTGGACATGCCTCCGGCCATCGTGAAAATCTATCCACAACCACCAGCATGTATCTTTTCCCCAACTGGTTTTATGATATCAACAAAGTCGATAACCAACTCACGCATAGGACCTCTCGGTGTTGTAATGTAACCAGGAAGAACAGTCACACCTCTGCGAACATTATTTTTCAGACAGATTGTGCACCTGCCTATGACATAGTCAACCTGTTCAAGCAAATATGGTGCACAAAAACCATACTCCTTTGTGATCTTTCTCCTAACCTCCCCCTTGCAACATGAGCTAACCACTCCTGAATCATCAGACCTAATAGGTCTAGAGGCGCTACTATCAACCCCTCATGGTTTCTCCAAAGACCCATCGCATCTTTGACGGCACCTCGGTCTAGCCATAACTGTTTGTCAATCGTAGAAGCAGCTTCCTGCATCAAAATCACATCCTTAAGCGTAATTTTGTCTTCCAAGTCCACTCCATGAGTGACCAGAAAAACCTTGCCCAATTTGTTCGCTCCTGTGACGGCTTTTGCAGCTTCATCAGCAGCTTTGTTCCCTTGTGTGACTTTTGACACATCTGTTTTATGAGCTGCACACTTAGCTATCGCTATCTCTTTAGGCTTCATCATAGCATGCAACAGTTTCATTATTTGCGCATGATGTTGTATCGGAGAACCATCTGTTTTCTTAAACCCTCAACCTTTCCACACTGCTCCAAACAAATTACATACACCATGTGCATATGCAGAATCAGTATATATCGTCACTCGCTTTCCTTCTGCTAACAAACACGCTTCTGTTAGCCCCACAAGTTCAGCAAGTTGTGCGGACGCAGGCTGTGGTATTACTTCAGCCTTTTCAACAACAAATTCAGTTCCTTTCTTTAACTACTGCATAGCCAGCACACTATTTATCTCCCACACGATAACAAGACCCATCAGTCCAATACTCCAGTTCTGCCTCACGTAATGGAAGGGCTTGCAAATCTGATCTAAGCCTCAAGTATTTCTCTGCTTCTTGAACACAATCATGTGGCTCACCATCCTCTGAAGTTGGCAAATTCTCGGCTGGATTCACTGTATCACACCTCACTAGGGTGACATCTTCCTGCTCTAAGAGCCTATGATAGTCTCTGAGCCTAGGCGTAGTCAATGTATATTTCCATAGTTCAGAAGATTTCTGAGACTATGATGGGTAAGAATTGTTACTGGGTAACCCATCATAACAGATGATGCTTTGTCATACATTAAATATACTCCCACCATTGCTCTGTAGCACAGTGGTAGCCCTAGTTCTACTTCTGAATAGGCAGTAGAGTAGTAAGAAATAGGTTGAGGATTCGTCCCTGTACCTGTCGGCTGACATAGAACTGCACAAGCATATTTACCTCCAGTAGAAGTAGACACATATAGAAAGACATTCTTAGAGTAGCCTGGTAGTGTGAGTGCTGGCGCCTCTAGTAACCTCTGTTTGATCGTTTCAAAT